AACCTCGGCTTCTCATCAGAATGATTAGCTTCCAAAGCCATATTCCAATTCAACTCTTGTATATGCTGCTGCAAATATTCTCCGATTTCATTTCCATATTCCTTCAAAATCAGATATGCGGTATGCTTAAACGGCCTGAACAATTCAGTCATTTTGTCAGCCCACAAAGCCTGCTGATCGATCTCGACATCCTCGCCATACAGAAACCACAAGCATACCACTAGATCGTAGTGAGCGATCGCTTCATAGAACGCACCAATGAAAGCGTCGATGAACGAATCGATCAGCGTTGCCATCCTCTGTTGAGTCGTCGACGGCTGCTTCCACGGCTTTCCGGTCGGAATTACAAAATAGTCGTACTCGATCTGCAGCTCTTCATGAGATATGAACGGAGCGCACATGGAATCTTTCATATTCTCGTCCGGCCAGAATACTTTGCCCGTTCGATAGAATTGCATTATGTATCGGAAGATGTGACCATCTCGGTCAAAAAAGTATTCATTGTCCGTCGGCGTTATGATCATGTGCTGAAACATTTGGCCAAGGAGCGTTTTGGGATATGCTGTTAATGTGGATCTGTATGTTTCAAACTACAAACAACAAAATTAGTTCTCATTTCGTAGGCTGCTGGGAATTCAAAGCGTATATCGGCATGTACACTAAAAGTTTAGTACCTTTACACCGCCAACATTCAGCGTTATCTGTTCCATGTTGTTAACGGTGTGGAATTCAGGAATTCATCGATAAACTTGGGCTTTGATTTGCAAGCATGAGCTGTCTGCCGAGTATTTATTGTGTTGTTGTCATACCCGAAACTAACCAATGAGATATTGAAACTTTATACAGAAATGGTAGAGCCCCGAAACGAAACTTAAATAAAAAGGATCGGCTCCCCCCATTGTGAAAACGTGCTTGCAGATATTCGCTTTTCCTAAACAGAACAGGGACTGCTCAGGTCTTCTAGCTTTAATTGATAAAGGATTGATCGAATTCTGTATGTTGACAGCGTAAATCTATTTGATTATGTAAAGTTCGTAAACTGAAAGTGCTCAATTACCGGGCCATGCAAGCCACTTATTAATATCGAAACCTATACCGGATAGAATTATAATAACAATTATCGTGTAAATCATTGTATTGTCAAGCATTCACTGATTGATTTTTCTTTTCTCACTATTACATAGAGAATGTTGGGTCACTTAACAAGCGATATAAGGGGCGAAGCTCTCGCCAATTTATAAACTTTGGTTACGTTCTTGGGAATAGCTTCGTCGGCGATTTCGAGTGCATTTATTCTCCACATACTCATACAATAAATCACAATTATTTGTGGAAATTGAGAAATAGATTTTTAATACATCCGTCATCTTAGATACATCTCAGTTGAATGTTTCTCCGGCAAGTCTCAAGTTGAAGTTTGATATTCTCTTATTAATTGGGATAACCTTCTCAATCCTTCATCCATTTTCGCAGTTGAGACGTTACTATATGATACTCTAACATACGGTGATGGCCGAGGTC